GGTGCGGACCAGTGTGTGTACGTTAAGTGTACCCGGAACGGTTTGGTATATGTGTGCCTGTACGTGGACGACATGATCATCGCGGCGAAGACGCATGCTGAGATTAAAAAGGTCAAGAACGCTCTGAAGAACGCTTTCAGGATGAAGGAACTCGGCGAGGCGAAGGTCATCCTGGGGATGGAGATTAACTATGACCGGACAGCCGAAACGCATATGATCAAGCAAACTCGGTACATTGACGACGTTGTGGAACGCTTTAACCAGCAGAACGCTAAAGCTGTGGAGAACCCGTGTGCGTCCAACGTCAAGTTGGCAAAGATGCTGTCGCCAACAACGGAGAAGGAAGAGACCGTACCGCTCCTTGATTGGATGCCTGATGTACATCACGACATGTACTCGTCCGGACATTGCGTATGTGGTGACGCAGCTGTCACGTTTCCTGGAGAATCCTGGGCTACAACACTGGAAAGCGGCGATTCGCATCCTACGATACTTGAAGACGACTCGCGAGTACGGCATCGTTTACCAAGGTGGAACGCATGAGATTAAGGCAGAAGCGTACTCGGACGCGGACTGGGGAAGCAACATTGACGACAGGCGTTCTGTGTCCGGGGTAATGGTGATGATCGTGAACGCTCCCGTCGTGTTCAAGTACAAGTACCAGAGAACGGTTGCGCTCAGCTCAGCTGAAGCGGAGTACATGCCTTTGAGCCTGTGTACGCAAGAGGTGCTATGAACGCGAGCTATGCTAAAGGACATGGGTCATGAGCAAGTGGAAGGAACGCTTATCTGGGAGGCCAACCAAGGAGCCACCGCACTTGCAAGGAACGCTGGTTATCACGCACGGACGAAACATGTCGACATACGGCACCATTTTACGCGTGAGACCGTGGAGCGTGGAACGGTCGATTTGGACTACGTCGACACGAAACACCAACTTGCTGACATGCTGACCAAGGGACTCGGAACGAAGATGTTCAAGTTTTTACGTGAAGCGACCGGCGTCAAGAGCAAGGCCACCGTGCAGTAGCGGTGAGTGGGAGTGTTGAGGATACGTGTCCCGCCAATGCACGGTTAACCGGACCGCAGGAACGGCTACTACCGAGCCGTTCTGCTTTTGGCAGATCAAGGTACTGGATCGCTATTGGCTCACTACTTCAATGGCTAATGTGATTGGCAGAAGGCACGTATGACAAAGCACTTTCAAGAGGGTGGGCAGAGAGAGAAGGACAAGTAGGGCTAGTTTAACTGACTTTAATCTACCCACTTCGGCATTTGCCTTCCAAGCGACACATCAACCACAACAATTATTGACTTGAACGGATTTGTTAATAAAGCAAGTCCTGTTGTGACTCCACTTTGGGCCATGACACCCTTTGCTTTGAGGATTTCTCTCTCTCACTCTCACTTTTGTTGCCAACCGTGTAAGTTC